AACAGTCCCTTCCAAATTCCGCTGATTGAACCAGGCACCCTTTTTCATGCCTTTGGGCAGTTGCAAACTTGCTTCCACTCTCACCCGGTTGTCCAAATTTGTCCAATCAGGCGCTCCCCCTACGACCAGCCCTACGACCTCGCAGCCCCTAAGGTCCCCAACAAGACATCGGTGATGCGGCCCTCGCCAATGCAGCAGCAGCATTTCATGTTATCTCCGGAGGCACCGATTCGGCCGGTTCGGCCGATTCGCCGACCGCGCGGAGACCGGGGCTTCCGGGGGGAGCGGGACGAGTTGGAGGAATGAATGCAATCGATGGAGGCCACAGGGGCGATGGAGTGAGAGAGACTATAGTCTCCATGCTATAACAAATAGATAAAGATATAAACTATATATTAATAGATTATATATATACATATTTTTTAAAAATCTGTATATACCATATATAGAGCAGCTGCTAGATGGCTTAGTACCATGCGTTTAGACTTCTGGCTGGGCTGGCATTCTCCGAAAAGGACTGGGGGGGCGGCCCGGGTTCGACCGAGCCAACGACGACGAACGATGGTCGGTCGGTGGGACGGATTGGACGCAACGAAGAGTGGCGGACTGGATGGAAAACACATGCACACAAAGGCTCTATAAATACACCACCCGAACTGGGTGGTGCTGGTACTTTGGAATTTTGTGGGTGCGAGTCTCCAAGATTTCCTATAAGAGAAAAATAGAGAGAGATGCACCTCCTCGGCAATCCTCGGCAAAAAGAACATCTTGGCCAAGGGGGGCACGTTTTTTGGCTTCTCCGAGATGCTGGATTGGGTCGCCCCAAGTTTCATCCGCTTCATATTTGTGGTGCCCGGTCATTTCACCCACGACCCCACCCCGTTGGGGTCGCCGAAGGCCCCCAGACTCGTTGGACACCGCGCCCGTTCCCCGCACGGGCGAAGCGGAGAGGCGGCGTCGGCCTTTGGCGAAGCCGAAGCTGCGGGGATGGAAGACTCGCCTTACTTTGGGTCGATGTCGTTGAAGCGGCTGGAGACGTGGATGGAGAGGTGGAGGTGGAAGGGTTCTGACGTGGACTCCTCCCCAGCAACGAAAAGGAATGTACATGCCTGAGTGCTAACATCAGAAGCCTCCGCGCCCTGGAGGTCCAACAAGCATTACACGCCATCAAGTCTCATCTAGTCAGCTAGTCAGCTAGTTGTTATACAAAAAACTGTTTGACCTGGCTGGTGTGCCAGAAGTCGGGCCATAACGTCACGCACTCCGTTCGTTTCGGCAGCATTGGGAGAAAATTCTATCCGTCTCATGTCACACTTCCCAAAGCCATCGACAGGGATCCACGGTCGACATCGATCGACACAACGCCCCTCCCGACATTCAGCAAGGATGTAGCGCCTTTCTGGTAGCTTGGCGCTGGCGCCGAGGGGAGGGGGGCCAGGTATGGCCGGGTTGCTTGTTGGTCTAGAGCCATTGCTTGACGAGATGAGACTCGTGCGGAGAATATATCCATTTATGCAATCCTAGAACCTATCCGACCTCTGTTGTGAAAGGAGCAGAGCATTTAGGACACTGATAGTCTAATGAAAGACATTGGTGGCCAGCCCATCAGATCGTGCCCCTTTGCCACAAGAACCACTGTAGGACGCCTGGAAACCATGCTGGTTTGGGAGGACACCAAATGTCAGCGTGTCCCTCTTGAGTCGGATGGACTGAATGAACACCATCGGCCTCAGCCATCGGTATCCGCTGCATCTTTAGCGAGACAGCGCCTCGTGTCGGGCTGCAAAAGGAATGCCCTCCTCTTTTCCAAAGCGTCTTCCAAGCAAGGCCCTGACCGTCGTACGGGCATTTGTGGAAATCGTAGAAAACATGCTCAAACTGGGAAAGTGCAGAACTCCTTGCAGCGTCTGACGGGAGGAAGCTGTAGCTTTTTCCAGACACTGTGGGCCAATGTTAGGTTACAGCAGTTTTCTTGGATGCATTTTTTTACATCAGTTTTTAAACTTGACTTGACATACTACTACCGTCAACACTGCTACGGATGCTGCACTGCCAGTGTTTCTTTTTCCATGTTGGATGGCACATGTTCAAAAGATGCTAAACATCATGTGTCGCCATCCGGGAAAAGGTTCTTTTGATAAAGCAATCCGTTTCACTGAAGGGCCACCAGTAATTTGGACACAATTCGCTGCAAATGGGGCGAACCGTTTGAAGCTGCATTTACTTCGGGGGGAAGGTAGAAGCTAAGACTAAGACTTTCTCGGACTTGATGAAATGGGCTTCACAAGAGATGTGACCCCAGACAAGACGCCCTTTCAGACCCGTGCCACGGAAATTCGCTTCGCTGGGCCGCTGAGGAAGGTGGTGGGCCGCAGCCGCAAGCGATCACACACACGTCCGCCCTCCCATTGGCAGCTCGAGGCGGGATGGTGTGCCGTGTGCCGTGTGCCCCAGCACACGGGGCTGCAGGTCACCCCGCAGTCAAAAGAAACCAACGGCAGATGCTCCCGCCCCCTCCTCCTCACATCGTCGGGTTTTCTGCCCCCTCGCTGCGACCGAACCGAGGCGTTCTTTGCCTCCACCGTGGCTGGCGAGTGGATCTTCTTCGGCAGCGTGTGGGTCTTGCTGATGCGCTTGAGCTGCTGGGCGGGACGACCGCGCGACTCCCTCGACGCGCCGTTCCCTCCGCACGCGCGGTGGACGTGGAATGTACACCAGGGGTCCAGGGGCATGACGTTTGTTTCCACCTAGACGCGGCGTGACCAGGGTGCTTCGGGCGCCTTTTTTTTGAAAAGTCTTCGCCTTGCCTCCGCGGTGACCTGCGGCACCTGGGTTTGTTTCGCTCCCCAGTCCCGAGTCGAGCCCCGCAACGAAAGGGCAGGTGTCTCCAGTCCCAGGCACCTTTTTGGTATGGAAAGGATTTGTTTGTTTTTAAAGCCATTGTTGGAACAACTGGAACAACCATTGTGTATCCAATATGTGATGATGTGTTTCTGGTTGTTTGGGTTTCCAGGCGCCCTACAGCCCTATTAAAGGCCCTAAAGGCCCTAAAGGCCCCAGCTAAGGAGCAAGGCTTGGGTGTCGGCTGATGACGGACCCTCCACATGCAAACATTCCACTTCACTCCAGCAACAACTCCATGTGGGGCTAATTTGACCTCACCAGACCTCACCATCGACCTCACCAGAGTGCATTCCACTTCCAGTGCATTCTGGTCCACTAGGACGCTGTAGGACGCCGTGTTTAGGTCCTCGTGTCCGATGTCCTAGCTGTGAGGGTGGCCCAGGGCCCTGCCGCCTGCCCGATCTCTCCGGTCAAGGCTGGTTTATCCACGAGTTGCAGCTGGTGTCCTGCTGTTCTCATGCCACTTGGGCCAAAGTCTTCGAGCCATGCGCGGTTTTTGCATCGCAGGGGCTTTGGAAGCCAAACCGACCGACTCAACCAAGCTGGTGAAGAAGTGCTGAACTCGACGACGGGACAATTGGAGGGAAAGCGGATGGAACGCAGTCTGGAGGTGGCTGAACTTGAAAACGCGATGAAGGAGCTGCTTGAAAGCGTCTGAAGTTGGGCGAATACGGAAGTCCATCGCCTGAAGGCGGCGAATGAAGAGAGAAGGAACGTCACTTTTCAGTGGTAAACCTGATGACAGACTCATTCAGATCAAGCAGACCAGATGAAGGGTCCCAAATGCAAACACTTCGTCGATCCATCTTTTTCCATGTTCGATCGCCCCGCAACTCCCGCAACTCCGGGCGGTGCGGTGCACTGCCAGCTGGGGACCCACTGCCCTCCAAAGTAACATGGGAACTTGCAAAAGGACTATTACAGTAAGACGAGTATAGTTGCTCTACTAGGTGACCGGGTGATTGCCATATATTTGACCATATGGCGGAGTGTGTCTCAGTCGTCACGTGGACACCGTGGGTGCAGGGTTCTCCTCAGTTCCCGCATGAGGGGAGCAGATTCCACTTCGATGCCTAGGTTGCCTGCTGATTTGGGCCTCGACCCTTTGCCCCCGGTTTCTTCCTAACCAAGAGAGGTTAAGTGACCTTATAGGGCCTTACTGGGGTACCGAACTGGGATAGGTTAAGCCACCCGCCGACCACCCACCACCCGCCCCTGCCGCGCCGCTCGAGGCTGCCGCCCTCTTCGTGTGGACGCTGGCTTGGGAGCTTGGAGAAACGCCGTAAGAAGGGATGGACCCACCGTCGTCGAAGGGGTTGTTGTCCCGAAGCCGTCCACATAAAGGGGAGAGGAGGCGGGTGTTTTCCTTAAAGGATCTTATTTTGTTCCTGACTGGAAGGATTTGGAAAGGCACCCTGTTCACCACTCCGTTTGCACCTCCTTGGTCCGGCTCTACTCACTTCGGTTCAGGCGCATGAGCAAGGCCACACGCGAGGCCGAAGCGAGGTGGCGTCCCGACATCGGCACGGGGGCTACGGGGGCTAAGGCGGCGATGCTCTATCTGCTGTGGACCTACATGGGTTCTGGCCCTGAGGTGCGCCCTTCCGGGAGGAGAATTCCCAAATCAAATCCAAAGGACATCTCTATATTATATTGGGCCCCAAACAGATAGAAACGGTTTCCAATAGATTCTGAGTGAGGATCTACTTTTCTATCCATTTGGGGGGCCTTTTCAAGTCGTCAAACAGTATTCCTTAAGTGTGGACCCCAGGTGCAAGCCTGTCCGGTCCCCCCCCTTGGAGTTTCTCTCCCGTGTAGATGAAAGACCGACCTGCACATCATTTCACCACGATTCACTTGGAAAGTCCTCAAGTCGCTTTCGGCACATCACGCAAATCTGATGGACCTCGTCGCAGACCAATTCTCAACCCAGATGAACGGTGCTGATTTGAACTGCGATTGCTCAGGAGTTGAGGGTCAAACATACTTTGGAGGGTCTCCTCACTCCCAAATCCATCTCCCTGGCGCACCTTGCGCCATGCCATTTGTCCCACAATCTTGGACAGTTGGCGGACAAGTGGCTGGATGGTTATGTCATGGAGTTGGTGCTCTCGATGGCACCTTGGTGGGGCACAAAAGGATGGAACACATGAAAACACAAACGAAACTACGATGCTTTGGGTGGCGATGCCATGTGGAGGCTTGATCTTGGTCGCATGTCGGGGTCCACCCGGAGTCCGTAGCGGAGGCCGAGACCTCCCTGCCTGCTCAGGAGAACATCTTCCTCTACCACATGGTGCTGGGCGCCTTCAAAGTCCCCCCACGGATGGCCCGCTTCGCACTTTTGGTGGTCTCCCTCTTCCAGATGGTCTTCCAAATGCTCCTTGGCGGTCGGGGGTGGGGAGTGGGGATGGGGGGGGGAAGCTGACAAGCTGGAAGCTGCAGGTGACAGGGTGGTGGGTGCTGGGCCCACCCCAACCTCTGGAGGTGGCCGCCCAGTTCCACAAGGGTGCTTAATGCGCTTAATGGAGGATAAGCACTACCTCCAGAACATCCACCCTCTAAGGCTCTAGGGTCGCCCCCCCAAACCCACCCTGACGATCGAACTCCTGGGATGCGGTCGAGCGAAGCCGAGGTTCCTCTTCATGGGCATCGCGGCGCCGGGGGGGTTCTCGGAGCGGAGCGCGCCGTTGGCGTGAGAAGGGCCTCTCTAAATGGCCATGGGGTTTCACTCTTCGGAAGGTCTGCGTATTCTGAAGATGTCAGGAAGTTGGATGTCCAGTTTTGATCCTTCTGGAACTTTTGGGTGAGAGTTCATCGGCTTGAAGAGCTGTTTTCATGAGTTGGCGATAAAGGAAGACATACCCCCCTGGTGTCTCTGCAAGATCCTGTCAACTGGATCCTTCTGGGTGATCGACCTTGGGGGAGGACCGGGTCAGACCCTCCGACCCAGCGAGCCCATCTGGCGGCCATTGCGGCCGGAGGCCATCCATCGCTAGTACGGTATAGGTTCCTTTTTTGCTTTTTCATATCCGTTGGCTAGGGATCGATGTAGAGAGGCCAGTCGGGTTTATCGTTTCTCGGTTCGACTAAGAGTGTGCACGAATCTGTTGCCCAGATTCAACGATTGCTGGTCACTTGTACAACAATTGCTGGTTTGATCGTGGGCACAAGAGGCCGGCACAAGGATTTGGACCACCTTCACCTGCCCTCCCTACTTCACCTGGATGAAGACCTTCGTCTACGTGCGGTTCCGCATGTGCCTTCGGCCGCGCCCGGCCTTCCCATCCGTAGGCCTTCATCCAAGACCTGGAGATCTTGCCATACCTCCTGGGCGCTTGGCTCATCGTCGTGGGGATCCAGACCATGCGTGCCCTGGCGACCGCACGGCGACCCGCCACGTGGCGACCCGCCACGTGGCGACCCGGGGCGGTGCGAACGAAAGCGTCGGGTGGATCGACGCTGAAATCATCATGGGCCAACGTGACGTGGCATGGCCTCGAGTTCGGGTGAGCACTGTTGGAATGCCAAACAGGTGGTTCAGTGAACTCCACTACTTCCACGACTATTTCCAATAACTCCCTCAATATATTTCCATGGGGCCCCATGTCCCTTCTCCTGCAAGCCGCCCCCCCCCCAAGACTCTAGATGCAGTCCCTCCATTTCGAGGGAAGAGACGCCGGTGACTCTCATCACCCCTGAGAGAAGGCCAAAGCTGGATGATCTGCACCCACCCCGATGGGTCATTTGTCTACGCATCCAGCCTTCGTTCGCCCCGGAAGATCTCCAGCTCGGCCGAGAACCCCCGCGGGTCGGCGTCTGACGGGTCGGGGGGCTCCCGGTACCACGGAGCGCCAATGCGCGCGGGTGACACGAGGTGATGATGATGAAGAAGGCTGGGTAGGTGGACTTGAGATGATGGATGAGGGTGAGACAGGGCCCCTTCACGGAGTTCTTGGGAGAGAGAGGGCTCTGTTGACGGCAAGCCGTTGACGGCAAGCCACAAGGCATGCACAGGGCCGTTGACACTGTCAAGTGCTATTCACCTGAGGCATTTCTGAGGGCTTTGAGGATTCCCAATTCTGCCTCTCGTGTTTCGACAGCCCTTTGACGACATGGCAACTGGGCGATTAGATGCCCGTTGATTCCTGGAGGAACATGTGCAGAAGGTTGGTTGAGGAATGCCGTACGGCCATTGGTTGCCGTCACATGCTCCACAAGCTGGTCGTTTCCGTGTGCCGCAGACCTAGGTTCCACTCTTTGAGCAAAGACCAGATCAAGGGAGCCCCTAGGTTCCAACCCTCATCTAGACCTGGTTTTGCTTGGGGCCTAGGGTGATTCTTGTATAGTAATTTATAGTTCTCCCTATGGTCCCTAAGTGCAGCACGTCCCATCAAACAGGTGCCACTACGAACTGTCGCAAAATGCATCAATTTCTTAACTCAGCTGATTCAGCTGGGCAGAAATCGACCCCCTTGGGGGGCGCGCACCCCCGAGACCTTACGAATCAAGCACTGAGAGGTCGCCGAGTTGAATCCCCTTCAATATCTTTATTAGTTTATAAAATAATATCATTTATATCCTTTCACATTTATTGCAAAAATACAAATAACCTCTGGCTCGCTTCCTGCTTTTCTAAGAAATCACGTCCCGGTTTCCTGCCGTTTGGTCGACCCCGGCTTCGAGACCTCTCTGCCCTCATGCGCAGGCTTCGACGCCGCCAACTCGGAGGCCTATAAGACCTGCCGCCTGGCGCTGGGCGACCGCCTGCTGCCGCGCTATGATGCGGAGGGGCGGATCTTCGTGTACCAGACGCTTTTCTGGGGGGGTCGGGGGGGCCGACAGGGTGGAGGGGGGGGGGTGTCGAACATGGGGGGGTCACCCCGGGGGGGGGGGGGGGGGGGGGGGGGGGGGGGGGGGGGTTCCGGGTTGGAAGGATGCGGATGACGAGCTGATGTGGTGCAGTCTCCGCCGGCTTGTCGTTGCGACGGAACGGAGGATCCAAACCACATCTAAACATATCTAAAACAGCCTCTGGGAGTTATGGGTTGTGGCCCATGCCGTGGGCCATAGACCATAAACAAGTGAACTCTGGGGTGGGTGTTGAATCATGTTACACGTTGAATCCATTTGTAATCCACTGAAGAGGTCTTTAGGTACTATAAACCAGACTTTTTTTCCGGTCTGGTTTTTCTCACTGAACTCGGTGGTGAACTCCACTTCCATGGGATGTGAGTTGGTTGTGAACTCACTTTGCCATGAAGCGGTCTGTCAGTGAGAGAGGGGATGCTACCGTCCTCCTGGCTGAGGAATGGCAAGCTCTCAGAGCCCCGGCAAGGGAGAGGGGGTGCGTGAGGAGTGGGTGAGGTGCCGGACCCAGGCGAATAGAGATGCCAAGAACGCAGCACTGGAGTACGTGCTAGGGGTTTAGATAGGTTCAGCCTGGTTGTAGTGGGTCTTGGCATGTCTTGGCACCACTTCCATCCACAGGCTGAAATGGGGGATTCTCAAAGAGGTGCGCCCAACCTTGAGCTGGTGGTCGAACATTTGATGCAACAATGGTCAACAGAAGCCGTGGAAAGTGGAAAGTGTCTCCAGTGAAATAGCATTCCTTGTGACCTGAAGGATTCTCAAGGAGTGAACAAAATCATTGGGTGATGTTGTCTTTTTGGGATTTGCCCCAGATTTGCCTGGCAACTGCTGATATATGACCCAAACATACCCAAACACACCAAAGTCCACGGAGTTCATGGTTCCAAGGTGAGCCCCTTCTCCCTTCAGCACCGGACAGGGTGTCACCTCGCTCGCACCTCGCGGTGTCCTGCGGGCTGCGGCGGGCGACGCCGTCCGAAGTCCGAGGTGACGATGATGGGGCCCGTGATTCTGTGCTTGCTCGCCATCATGTTCGCCATGGAGGCCGAACAGCCCGGTGAAGCCGGTGAAGCCGAGGAAGGTGCCTTCACCTGCTGCCCCCTTCACCTGCTCTGGCACACGGGTAAGACCAGAGCTGAGCACGGCGGAGTAGGGGCTCCACAAAAAGAAACGAATGGGTATATGGTTCTCTCCCAAGGGTTCTCAAGCATCTGCGCATCTGCGCATCTGCCCGCTCCATTGTATCCCATTCTTTGGACCTCGGGGTTCCACACCTTTGGACCTCACACAGGTGGACGTGACCTTGGCCAAGATCGAGGAGATTGACAACCATTTCATCGCTTGGTCCTCTTCGGTGCTTGTGCCCTGGACTCCGCAATCCAGCACCGGCTTATACCGGCTTCCAGGGAGCCAAAGCCTCTATAGGGCCTACAGGGCCTTAGGTATTTGGTAGGTGTTTTGAGGTGGATGTCTGGTTCGAGTGGAATGATCGTCACATGGCTCGTACGCCCAGTTCGAGCCTGCGAAGGCTGATGGATGTTCGAGGCGGTGGGTGCATGCGTGGACCAATTCCAGCCCCAACTGCATCAGGGATTGGCTGCGTCCGCGTAAGCCTGGCTGCTAGGACCACCCGACTGCTAGGTAGCTGGGTGAATTGCACTGAGTTCTTGCACAGCTGGAAATTGGTCGATGTTGGCCTTAATGTTAGATAAAAATTGGCCAATGGATTCGGGTTGGGATCGTTGTGATGTTGGCCACGGATACTGTATTTATTTTCCAGAGGGGGCCAGGTACTCCCGGTACAATATAATGGCCTGAAGCAATCAACCCAGTTCTGAGGCACGTTATTTTTCTTCACAAGTCAAGAGCCAATCAGACAGTTGGTTGTTCCTCCGATGAGGTCTTTTTGCCGGAGTGCAAGACTGGGAAGGGATTTACTTGGCCACTGAGCCGCCCAATGGTTTCGCTTTCGAAGAGCAACGTATGTTCGTTTTTGGATTTTTGCTTGGACTCTTAAGGCGAACCTCTTCCTCCAATCTCAGCGAACAAATAGCGTCCCCTCCACAAGGGTTTCCTACATTCATCCAGGGGTCCAGCTGCCACAGTAGTTGCAGGTCTTCTCGTTTTCTCTTTTCATCTTCTTCCCCGCCCTCGCCCACCTCAGGCAGCGTTCGCCTTGCCGGAGCTTTTCGTTGTGGTCTGTGAGCTCTTGAGGTGGGGATCGACTCCGTTTGGCGCTTGGGGGGGTGCGACGGTTTAGGGGACGAGAACTGGCCAAAAGCCCGACACTGCCGGCACTCACAAAGGCGGTGTTCGGGGTGACATGTTTGCAGGTTTCAACAAGTCGCCGGGGGGAAACCTCTCCAAGCCCTTCACACATGTAGGGTTGGGCCTTCAGCCACAGAGACCACACCAGGCGCTTCTACCTCTTGAAGCCTGCGATCAGCTTCCTGGTGCAGCTCGGTCCAGTTCAGCGAATTCGCGGCTCCGTGGTCGAAGGGCTTTGATCTTTGGACGCCGGGACCCCGTGGAAAAACCGAGGTCCCACGGGGGGTCCGTGCGTTTCTCATCACCAACAGAGGTTGAAGAACCTTACCACGACACCCTGAACCTTTAAGAGGCTATAACTCAGTAACTAGGCACCCCTTGGGGGACCCTTGTATAAGACTATCTCATATAGGTAGCCCAGGTTTCGGGTCCTTCAGGTCACTGGCTGCCGGGGGGGGTCGCGCGTTCTTCGGCGTTCTGTAAGCTAGTGGGAGGCTAGAGCTGGGTGTCTGACAATCTGGAAAAGCACCCGGAAGGTATGGACAAGTGACAAGTGCTACATGTGTGACATCTTCTGTAGTATTTTTCAGCGACTTCCGGATGCCGAAGAGGAGGCAAGTTACGCCAAAGCCGCTCCTTCCTGCCAAACGAAGACCAGCCGCATTCCGCCAACCTGTTCTTCTGATCGTCCGAAGGAAACGACATGCGTGGAGACCTGCTGTGCCCAGGATGTTCTTCGGCATTTTGCTGCTCTTCCGGGACACCATCGAGGCCTTCACCGCGGGTGTAAAAACAAGAAGAGACCGCGGACGGTGACACGGGGCGTGCAGGAGCAAAGGAGATTACTGGCAAGTTTTCTGCAGGTTACTGGTGAGGATGTGCAGCGGTTTCAGCTGCTTGGGGTAGCTTCTTCGGATCTCCCCCGCACCACAAAAATACTTAGACACCACCACGAGTGTGCCTTAAGACCTGCGACCTCCTACTGACTTTTGAACACCTCCCGTTCTTCCTTTCGCCAGGTCGCCAAACACATGGAAGCACCGATGTTTGATAGGGTGGCGACCTATTCTTTTCCAAAACACCAAAGTTTCGACCATCCGGCCACGGAGGTGATTGTTGAAGCAACAAAACTTTAAAGAACACCTTTTCTATCCTTTCCCTGGTTTTCTACTTTCTCCAAAGATTCAGAAGGTCGTTCCCATCCACACTCTTTTCTGAATTGTCTTTGGCTTTGGCTGCTTCGTTCTGGAGTCCAGAATGTTCGTTCTCAGTGATCAGACCAGAAGGCCCATGGCGAAAGTGACCCCTTGGCCTTCAACAGATCCGATGGTTTTCCTTGGCGACTCCTGAGCTGATCCTATGATCCTTGCATCCTCGTAGCCAAGATGCTTTACACCTGAAACCCTTCCTTGCAGCCCGCAAGACAGTATATTTGTCTTTGGTTCTTGTGAACATCAAAACTGCTTGCAGGAGGTGAGTACTGTGTAGAGTTCACTTCAAGGCCAACCTCCGGGGGGTTGCGTTCTGAAGTTCACCGCTCAAACCTGGGCGTTGCTGCGACTCGATACGATACGAGACGACTCTCTCTCTCTCTCTCTCTTGCAGCTGGGTGATGCGGCGGAGCTCAGCGTCATGCTGGGCATCGTCTTCGGCTCCATCCTCGTGTCACCGCTGCTGGGCTATCCCGAACGCTCGGGCGCCAGCTACGACGGCCTGGACCGCGGGTTCCTGCGGATGGGGGAAGGGATCGGAAAAGGGTAGGAAATGTGAGTAGGGTCTAAGGCTTCAGCGGGTGTATAGCCGTATAGCCCAATAAAATGTAATTCAAACACTCTTTATAGTAGGGGCCTTTTGTGCACGCCCGTGGGGGAGGGCTTCTTTGCTGTTTCGTGTTGCATGACTGGGGACACTTGGATCACGCGGGCGCTCTCAGCATTGACTCCACCAACAGAGGTTGCAGAACCCTATAGACTATCCCATAGGTACCCCAGGTTTCGGGTCCGTGTTGGCTCGCCAAGGATAACAGGTACTTTAAGCGGGTTCCAAGATCTTATTCACGCTTGTAGGACTTAGGAACAGCTTATTTTGGTTGATTGGTAAGTACCCCCCTCCCGAACAACGTGTTGACCATCCAATGCCTATGACATCCCCAGCCACTGCTGATGTCTTGCTCATTGTTGATCCTTGCAGGAGGGCAAAAGTGCCGCCGAGACGCTTGGAAGAATGGAAGGTTTTGGGCAGAAAACCCCGCATCACCCAGCGGGAGTTCCATGTTAACGCGTTTCTTGGAAGTTCTTCACCCACAGGATGCAATTCTCCACTCACTGTAAAGGCCACCCCGACTTGGAATTAGCGCATCCCAGAGTATCCAGCTACAGTGTAGTACTTATATAATATACTGTAAACAACTTGCCACTACAACGGTAGTAGGCTGGCATTGTTTCCACCAGACGAGCATCGTAGACTTTGAATGTGTTGCTTCCTTCTGCTTCCTTCAGCGCCATTCCCAGTGCTCCGCATTCCTTTTTTCGCACCGCGCGTTGAGGCACGGTCCCAAAACGGACGCTTTTCCGGTGCCGCGCTCCAGGGTGACGCTCCGTCGGTCCAGGGGCAAGAAGGCCGACGAGGAGTCCATCTTCGAAACGCGCGAAGGGGAGCGTGATGAGGAAGTAGCCAGCAGCTGGGCCAGGACTTGGAGCTGGCGACCGGGATGGGCGACGGTTCCTGCGTTTTCCCCAGTGCACTCTGGGTCATCCTGGGTCCGGTCGCGCGGGGGGGTGGTCCCAACGGAGTCCAATATGACGGCCTCTTGGCGTCGCATTTTGGCGTCACACCCACGTGGTGGATTCATTGATAAACCTTGGCAGAGAAGAGGGGTGTCAATGTTCTGTCTCGAGATGAGGGGTGAGGTACAACCGGCACCCCACGCAAATGGGTTCATCACGGTTCATCATGTCCTTTTGTTATTTTTGTTTTTTTTCTCCGGAGCTGTCCTTGACCTAGCTGGTGCTCAGGATTCTCAACCTGATAAAAACCATGATCAAGTATATAACTTATATCGTTATATAACCCATGTGATCTTTATCTTCAGTCAGATCTCCACCTAGTCCTTTCCACACGGCCCCTTTCCATCTCTCGCCTCTGGAACGCCGCCGGACTCGAGGCCTCAAAACGGACGCGACCTTGACTCCCATCGATGAGCGGATTGCGGAGGCGGCGGACTCGCCCAAGTGAGCGTGGCAAAGCGAAGGAACGCTCGCCATTGCCAAACGCGCCGGTGAAAGAGATCCGGCACCTGGTGTTTTGGGCCCAAATCTGGGAAAGGACGAAGGTGGCACATGGTCAACGGCAGCGAAGGAGCCGGCCTTGATCGGAGATCCAGAAGTAGTGCCCTTGGAAAGTAACAAGAAAGGGATAGAGAGAGAATTCGAGAGAGAGAGAGAGAGGAAGAGGAAGGGGAAGAGAAAGAGTTCTTGAAAAGGTGCTGGTACAAGTACAATCGATTGGATTTCACTGTTTCACTTTGATGGTTGACGGTGGATTCCGTTCGTGTTCCCCAGTGTTCTTTTGGTGCTGCTGAATTCAACGCTTGAACACGTTTGAATCAACACCTCCATGCCATTCCACAACTTTTGGTCAACAGTCAAATTGTATTTACGGTCGCACATCTTTCCCGATTGATCGAACAGCCAGTCTTCGGGACTTGGGAAAGCAATGGAAGCACAATGTGGACAGTGATGTGGACCTATTTACGATTTGCCTGTTTTATGGGTGGAATGGTCTTGGAAGGCCAGTTGTCCATTTGTCCTTTGCTGACTTGCGCCCTGAGAGCAGTGGCAGCAGGAGCTGCCCGCAGGCGCCTGAAGTGATGCATCAGCTTGCATAAGTAATGGTCGGTTGACTGGTTGGTGTGTTGACCACCACACAATCAGGGCCCCCCCATGATGCCACTACCAAGTGGTTTTTACCGTTGGCGCTTTGGATGTTGGGCGATCACTCTACTCATCGTCTCCCCCTCGGTCGGCCGCTCGGAGGAGGATGGGGTTCGACCACCATCCGGGCGCCCGGACAGGTTGACCTAAGGGGCCAGCGATTTCGGGGGACCTGAACCTGGAGGTGTCTAATTGGTCAAGTGAACTGTGGCTGTTTAATTGGTGATCACCGGTGATCCAGGAGGATTCGATCTACGTTTTGGCTCGGATTTGGTTCAGTTGGCATGATCGCATGGTGCCCACAGGCTTTCTGCGAGTGACCCCGGGGGCCCTTTCCCCTTTTTCTGCCAGAAAGCTGCATTGCCTGCATTGAGAGTGGTTGGAGAAGCATGGAGGCCCCAAAAGCGGCTTGTGGATCGGGGCCTCCAGGAGGTCGAGTGTTCAGGGTGTCCATGGTTACTCTGATTCATTTGGTCTCTTGGAAAACCTCCCACTCCAATCCAAACTGAAGCGAGCACAGGAATTCTGCGAATATCGCCTTGATGTTCATTTTTTTGAACCGCTTCCAGGACCCTTCAGATTGGCGGTGGTTGCACCCGACAGCAGGTGGTTTCTGGACACCTAACTAGTATCCGCAAGGTAGAGACAATAAATAGTGTTACCCTGCCCCCAACAAACATGGAAGTGGAAAAAGCACTGTTGTGGAGGAAAGTGGTCTTCCAAGGGGCGTCTACTTCCATGATTGTTTGATGATTCATGCCGAACCAGCGGCTCAACGAAGATATGCGAAGATGAACGGCCTGCTTGCTGACCATGCTCCTGCACAGAAGCGGAGAAGTCTGACCTCTGCACTTAGCACCCGCGCTACGAGCTTGTGGTGTGTCAGTGACGTGAAAAATAGACGGTTCGAGGCGGCACCTGTGTTTTGGCTGTGTGTCGGGGAGTCTATCCCCAAGACTATACTTCAAGAAAAACCTTAAGATGAAAGTGATGAGGCTTTATGGAAGGCGCAAATGATGCACTTCTCCCACCAAAGACCGAGGGTATATAGGAGATAACATCATATATATCTATAATTATCTATATATATATATTATATCTATATCAATATATTACTATTATTGAACGTTATTATTATTCTTACTATTATTGCATATACATATATATAAGTCGAAACTGAAGATTGTACACTAGCTGGTGTTCCTCCACATCTCTCATTCAGCTGTTGGGGTCCTGGTCACTGGTCTGCTAAGGGCCGTGGGGACCGAAAGAAGGAGATCCGAACATCCGCGGCTTCGGGACGCATCGACCTTCGGGCTTCGGGCTTCGGCGGATCGGTACTCAGTCGTCGGTTCGGCGCTCAGTTCATCGACTCAGTCGGGGGGATTCGGCGTCTCAGGAGGTCTGTGCTTTCTTGGGCTTTTCGGAGGGATTTCGGTCTACTCCTCACACTCACTCAGATGCCTTTTCTTTTTTTGGGCAACGTGTCACATTATTTATATTAATGTACCCGCAGATCGTGTTTTCGGATTCCCGGCTCGTTTTTTGGATGTGTGATGTTCGTTTGCCACCCCACCAGTCAGTCAGCGTTTTGCCTTTGTTTTTTGGGGGCCCAGTGTGCCAGATGTTGACATGATCATCTGGCTTCAGCATGCTTCAGTTGTCTCCCTACCAATGGATCCAAGAACCAAGTCGCATACATACCTGGAGCATCTAATTATAAAGTGTCTCCACCTTAGACTCCTTGGACCACCCGAACCACCTAAACCACTATCGGTCCCAAGCAGTCGACCGACAGGTGGTGCGCTTGGCCAAGCCCACGGCGACGGTGACCTACGTGGGGAAGGCCGGGGGTTCGTGTGACGGAATGGTTTGAAATCAAGAGCCTACGTACGCGAACAGCCTACAGTCTACAGAGTCTACAGTCTACAGAGTACAAGAACATTTGTTTCAGGATCCATTCACCGCAACCCGCCCCTTCTGCTGGATGTTGGGCAGACGCGGATCGCGCCCTCTTCGGAGCTGGCGGGTCGCGTGACTCGCGGCCTTTTCTCCGGCGGAGATCTGATGTGAAGGGATGAGAGGAGTGCGCTGAACAGCCTCCAGCTGGGCGACCCCGAACAGTCTCCAGCTGGGAGACCCCATGATTTTTTGGGAAGAAGCGCCCGTTTGGCCGGTTGGGGTCGGGTGTCGCCTTCGAAAGGCCGAGCCGCTCGGCCGCGCCACGACTCGGCTCGCCGTGACCGCGAAAAACGCACGACCGGGCGGCAGGGCACCGATGTGAGCACGGCGAAGATGAAAGTGCAGCAGGACCGGCTGGGACTGTGTCGAGGGGAGCCAAGGGGAGGACCGCCGTGACGTGCACCCGGAGACGGTGAGTGGATGTGAGTGGGCCAGGATGACATCTCTTCCCAGCTGGTGGCTTTGGCCAAGGAAGGGAAGTCCGTGTCACCTGGCATGAAGGGGGGCCAAATATGGCAAAAGTCATTGGAAAGCATGGCCATGAGACAGAGAGGCAGAGAGAGACTGATATAGCACACACACACACATACCGCACGCACAAACACACACACACACACCACAAATCTTATACGGCATAATATGCAACAATACGATACGTATACGATTTCTTTTCAGAGTGCTATATGATTAGCCAAACCTGAAGAATAGAAGAACTTGCAGAATATTAAGATTTTGCATATTCTAGTTGAAACTGCTTTGGGTGCGCGCAAAACAGTTGAAATAGAAGAAAGGGGCTTAGCCGGAGCGTCAAACAGGTGTTATATAGCTACTTTTGCAAAAGCCACTAAATAGCCTCATATCTAATAT